TTGAGCGTCAACATCCACTTGTGCGAGGCATCCAGCATGCAGCTGCATCGAGTCTTCTTTGGCTCAAAAGCGAGGTCGGAGCAAATGCCTGATTGCAAACGACTATGTGTACAGGGATTCAGGCCTGGAAGAAACGTACTAGATAGTTACAGGAAGACACAGAAGAAGAAATCAACATCACTGAATGAGGCCGAATCCAACGATACTGAAGTGCCCGGAGTGGAATCCCCACTTCTCCGGGGTCCGCACAACACCCTTTCGCCCCACGATGAAGGCTTCTCTGTACATGTCCCGATACGTCATCTTGTAATGCTGACACTTAGTCCGTATTGTCCCGATGACGATCACTCCCTGTTGGCCCTTGGGCCGCCGCGTACATTGATCGGTAACTATATGTACCGTGCTCTCCGACACATCTCCTGGGGTTGCATTCCCGTATATGACGCAGGAGGGAATGGGTGGATAGGACTTGTCGTCGAAGCAATGGCTGATAGAACTTGGGCGGACCAAGTCCTCACGCATTATGCGTGCGGCACTTGCAATGCTCGTGCCGTGTCCGGCGGTGTAGATGTATGTTTCCCCTGGTGGGTCAGTGGCACGAGTGCCGAATGCTCTGCGAGTCTCACCAGCCCACGGGATGAATAACATAGTATGCACGCCGTCCGATATTGGCGTCAGCGTTGCTCCCAATTCGTTGCACGCTGAGCGCGTGCCCGACTGTAATACGGCATGCGCGAAATCGGCTAAAGTCTCCTGCCTGAAATCGCTGTCAGCAGCTATCTCGCCCAAAGTTTTGGCGAGTTTGTGCGCTTCCTCCAAGTCGACAGCGTGGGGTGTCGGCTTTTCATGATCATAAAGCTCAGAGAAAGGCGCCACATCAATCTGTGGTGGTCTGCTCTGTTTGCCCAGTTGTTCGAGGGTTGGCTGACCCGATGGGGCAGCAGTTGTGGATGCATCGAAAGTCGGAGCAGGTGTCCGAACAGAGCTGGGGGGATTGTGCCGAAGCTGTTGGCGCGAGGATGTGCCCTGGCTTGTTGGGGGCTGCTGTTGTGCGGCTTGGCTGCCCTTGATGCGGAGGGCGATGCGCTGAACCTGCGAAGCCAATGTTTTTTGTGGGACCTTGGGTGGGGTAGGTGGCCTTTGACGTGGCTGTGTGGCTCTGTAATGCCACTTGTTGGCATCATCATCACGCACTGTAGAATAGCTGCGGAGCACAACCGAGGTCCGAGGAGGTGTCGATGAAGCACGCCTGGTGTCCCTGCGAGAACGGCTTCTGCGAGTGTCGCGGGATCGATGGTGTCTGCGTCGGCGGTGCTGTCTGCCGCTGCTTGCAGGTCGTGCTCGGCTGCGCGTGTGTCGACGGCGTCTAGTGCTCACGGTGCGAGTTCTGCTGCGTGTGGGTGAATGCCGTCGTCTGCGTGGCAGCGGAGGGTGATGGGGAGAAGTACGGGCTGCGAGCTGATCAGTGTCTGCCGATCCCGTGTCTGGGGGTGGTTGTGCGGGTGGCACTGTATTGACGGAAGGGGTGTTGGCTGTGTTTGTTGGTTGTTGTTGTTGGGGCGTCATTGCCGGTGTCTGCGGGGCAGTGTGTGCAGCATCGGCAGTGGGAACACTGGTGGGGGGGGGTTGTGGAGCTTGTTGAATTGTTGTTGGCGGCGGTATGTGGGATTGTTGAATGGGTTGTGTGGGAGGGATGTTGCAAGGTGCAAGTTGGGGTTGTGAGGCAGGTGGTGCAAAAGGAAAGTTGAATGTGGTAGGTTGGGCCTGATGCTGTGTCGAAGCAGATGGGCTCATGGGAAAAGCTGTTGGATGGGTAGGCAAAAGAGCAGGATTCATGAGCGGTGTGGGTTGTTGTGACATGAATTGCTGGGGTGCAGGTTGTTGTGGCATCTGGGGTTGTGGTGTGCTGAGATGTGCGTAGAACGTCGGATGCTGTGGAATAGGAGCGGTGTGTCCACACGGCATCATGGGGAAGCCGTGTGTTTGCTCAAGAGGAATCGTAGTGGGTTGTGTCGGCAGTGTGGGCTGCTGAGTGGCAGCAATGCCGGTTGGCATCATTGCTGGGTAGCTTTGAGACTGCGGTACCCAGGTGTTCTGGTGAAATTGATTAAGCACCGGTCGGGCTGTTGGTGCATATGGTGTTGCTGGTGGCTGCGCGGCAAAATAATCCGGCCACATAGCTGCAACGAAGCGGGTGAAACACACACAGTTGCAAAAGCAAAGTGCAGGCTGTCCTGATTGTCCCTGCTGGACTGATTTGAGAGGTCGAAGACGGAGAGAAGGAAGGTAGAGGGCCGAGTACTCTCCGGAGAGAGCGCTGCTTCACTTGCTGTAGACATCTTTACCACGTCTGCACTCATGTCAGATGCACATGCCCTTGCAGTCCCTGAGGAATAGAGAAGTGGAAAAATACGGGGCAGACTAGAGAGGTAGCACCTGCTCACTAGACGCACTTTACCGCATTAGCCGTCCCTTACAGCACCTGCACTCATGTCAGACTCACATGCGAGCATCAGAGAGAGAGAGATAAAGTAGCATCTGGAGAATCTGAACGATCTGAACGAAGGCTGAACACCCGGTTCATCACCGGTCTCCCCGGAGGGTCACCACGGCGCCATGACGGAAAGCCGTTGCTCTGGAGTCTCATAGACCCACGCTGATCACACTGATGGATTCGGCCAAGAGTACGAGTGCAAGAGGAAAAAGAGAGGCATGTTGTTCATGTTGCAAAAGCTTGTCAGATTGTGGCAACCGTACAACTTGTTTGTTGTCGAATCAACCGCCAAAAGTGGCAACTGAAAACTCTCTAATCTTGGCACAGGGGCCTTCTAATCGGGCTGGCACAGGGGCCCCAGCTCAATTTTGTGCAGGTACAAGGTTTGGCGTCCCAAACCTCTTCCCATGGTGTTGCTAGCTTCGTTGGCCAGCGTCACAACACCATGCGCTGGCCCCCTGCAACATTTGATTCAGTAAATGTCAAATGTCTGATTGAGTTGCAAAGCAAAAATTGCAAACAGTGTAGGAGTGACCCTCTGCTCCCATGTGCTAGGGAGGTTCACACACACACACACACACACACACACACACACACACACACACACACACACACACACACACACACACAACATCGCTTCCCGTGCGGTGGCAGCTAACTCTTGAAGTTCACTTCAGCTCACACAGCCTCGACGTAGCCGTCTGCATGGCTTCACAATCGTGACTACGGGCAAGGCAACGATGGAGAGGTCGATGAAGTGCGACTCTCGCCGCGAAAGAACATCACCCTGCTCTGACATTGCCATCCAAACGGTGCATCAATCATGCTGGCATCAATCGTTGCTTGAACAAACCTGACATGGAGTGCAGAATTCACGGACTGCTCACCGATAAATGGCGGCCTTGAAGCTCATTGGCACCCGTCTCGCCAGCGCATACATCTGGTCTTCTTGCTGTGGCACCTTGATGCAGTGCCAGCAATCGCAAGGACCTCATGCAGGTCTTTCCTCAACAATGGCACATTCTGTCGTTTCCGTCCTTATAGATGCCCTTTTGGTTGTCTGTCTTTGACGAAACAGGTGGCTGACAGAGCGCAACAACACCTGTGGGGACTCGAACAGGTTCCAACCGGCAGACACTGCCGGCTAGCCCCCTTCGATACCACCAATCCTCTGGACGACGAGGCAGAAGGCTAGCGCACAGACTTTGCCGGTGTTGGCCGTTGAGCACGAGTCACTCTTAGCTAGAAAGGCAAGTGTTGAAGTTTGAGAAAATCAAGAAGCATGGGGTTTGCACCGTGGCGTAGCGCGGCGCGCGTAGTAGGGTATTTCTTCGGCAGGCACAGCAGCCCAAACCGTGGTTCCGCCGCAGCGTGGAGAGTGAAGTGATGTGCAGCGGGGTGTTCCACGTGGGTGCAGTGTGCAGGTCCCAAAATATGCGTTTTACCGCAGCTGGACACGCGCTGCTCTGTTGTGGCGACAAGACCAGTTAGGACCACGAGCCCTGAGTGATTTGGTCAAGTACGTGCAGAACCAAGGTACTGACCGGTAAAACGCGCGATTTGGGACGTCTGCCCCGCAGAGTGAAGTACCCTACTAAACGCGCCGCGCTGTGGCGGAACCCCATTTTCCGCGACCCTGCGCGTTTACAGACTTCTATATTCAAAATCTAAGTCTATTTGATTTGCGAAATAGGTACTAAACGCTGCTTTTCGCACATTTCCCACGCAAAAAGCGGTGTAGTACCTCCAAGAAGAAGGTACACGCGCCGCGCTGTAGTAAAACGCGTACTTTGAGCGTCTCACCCGCGTCGTGAAGTGCCCAAGACTACACGTACGTGTCACACACAAGTCCGAACTTGTAGAAACTTACAAACACTAGCACAGCTCACACAGCCTGCACAGCACTTTCGCACTCACAGCAAGAGAAGTGTCTCGGTCGTGACTTGTCTGAGCTACTGCACTCTACTTTGCTGCTTGACAGCTCTCCGTACTTGAGCTCTGCATTCCTCATGCAGAAAACACGCGGTCGGCAGCTTCAAACATATCATGCTCTCCTCGCTGACAAAACTCTTCAAGGCTAAAAACTCACGTCGTGGCAAAAACATGCTCATGTCTTCACATGCACCACAACTGCACATTGGTTGGAGAAAATAAAACCTCGTTCCAAAGCTTATGCCCTCATGCACTGCAAAAGCTGGTTCCATGCTGTCATACCGCAGGTAGTGTTACGTACTTTCATTCGCCGGGCTGCGAGCCGTCCGAGACGAGTCAGAAAATGAATTCGCATGCAAGTGAGAAGAACCTCAGCCTCTTTGGGCGAGGGCGGCCCTACGTCCTAGAAGGGGTTGGCTAGCTACGCCCGCCAAACCTCAATCTTTTTCAGACGAGGGGAAGGCCCTACCAAAGACTGTACAGGCGGGTTCCTACCGGCCCAGGCTGACTGCCTCAGGTTCAGACCTCAGCCTCTCTGGCGAGGAAGAAGCTCTGGGCGCTGGCTCGAGGCCAGCTAGGGCTGGGGCCCCTTGGCTTTGGCAGCTTCGGCGGCCGCCATTTCACGGCGGCGTTTGGCAACGTATGCCGTGGTGAGCCGAACGTGCCTGGAGGTCATCGCGTGTGACTCCATGAGTTGTTGGTTCGAGGCCGCCACACCACAAGCAAAACACCTCAAAAAATCGTTTGAGAAGATCTGGACATGAGGTGGTGTCGGTGGGACCTCTGAACCTCGAGCCGATTGGCGAGGGGAGGGAGACGGCGAGTCAGTGGCCTCGTCATCGGGAAGACCCGGATGGAAGTCAGGGCCTCCGCAGAGGCTGGCTCCAGGGGATTATCCGGAGCAAGGGAAAGCTCCGGGACCTCAGCCAAAGAGGCGAGGGAGTCCAGAGGCCCCGGAGTGGGCGACCTTGCACCGCTTCAGCAGCCTTTGCACTGGGCTGGAAAGGCCCCGAACCAATCTGAGGAGGAGCGGGGTGTGGATGAGGGGTCTCCGGAGGCTGGCCGAAGGCCGTCACCGCAAAGGGCTGGCCAGTAGCCATTCGAGGCGGACCCTGCAGCCTCGGGAGGCGAGGGTGGCCCTTTAGGAATGGCCACAGCTGGTGCAGTGGGTGGCCCCGTGACCGGCTCAGTGGGTGTAGAGCCCGAGGCAAGCTCTGCGACCTCAGCCTTCGGCGAGGGAGGGACCCTGGGAATCCGGAGCACTAAGGTGGGAGCGGACCCAGTGTGGATCGACCCTGTGCCTATGGTCCCACGCCTTGGACCACACAAGCGGGGTACGCTTGGTGAAAGTGCCTTGGAGGCTGCGGATGGCGGGGCGGCAGTCGCAAGTGAGGTCAAAGGTGCCGCGGGTGGAGAGAAGAGCCTGGGCAATTGCCTCGCTCTCTCCCTCCGGCACGGTGGCCGGCGCTGGCAAAAGCCCTGTCATAGTGCCAAGGATATTGAGGTCGTCCTGGTGCCGGCTAGCGACTACGATGGCCCAGCCGACCGAGCGAAGGCGACTGTCCCTCGTAGCTGGGCCGCCTGACGCGTCCGTAGCAACGAAAAGCCCTGTCAAGTCAGGAGTGCCCTGGAGGAAGAGGCCGGTGCGGCGAACCTCAGCCTCGTGGGCGAGGGGAGCGCGGGGCGCGAGGGGTTTAATCCCACGCAGCCAAAGGCACTCGTCGGGGTGGCGGCGCCTAAAGGAGAGCAACCAGCCAGAGGGCATGAGGGCGCCGGGCACACGCTCACACTCATAAAGGAGGTGGCGCAGTGTGTTGCCAAATGACCCAACACGTTTACCAGCTTTCTCACTCCAGATGTCGCACCATGCACGAAGCACACGGTGACCTGAACGATGGTCGCGTACCCTTGGCCCTGACATGTTTGCAGTCAGTTCTACGGTAACGATCCCCCATACCAAAGGTAGCCAGCTCATCATGTCCCAACTCGGGCTTGCAGCATCCACACGGCAGAAGCTCTCTTCCAACCATGCCCTGCTGAGTGCTGCAATTGGCATTCCCATGGTCATGGAACGTAACGGAATCCTCCCCGAAAATAAAAATAGGTCGTTGATGACGCGTCCTCCAGAACTGGTTCTCCTTTGAACCTTCCAGAATCACATCACCATGATCATTGACGAATCGTGGTGCACTCGTAGGATTGGCGCTCGGTTCACCGGCGCTGGATTTCGGAGTATTCCCGGACTCTCTTTTCGAAGTCTTTCCAGGATCATCCTGTGCAAAACGTTCCCCAGTAGCCATCTCAGCAGTAAAGCCGTGACGACCAGCAAATGGATCATGATGTCTCATAGTCTTTGAAGCCACCAAATAAAACCAAGTAGCCGCTAGCAAACCCAGCAGTAAACCATTCACGAAAATAGCCATCATCATAATCCAGAAGGGGTCGGTGCTGAAGCTCGGCCCCATAACGCCCTGAATTACACTCCCCATCGCTTCAACGTCCCAGGAGGAAGCCAAGGTGTAGGCCATAGCTTCAAAAGGAGATTGGGCTCAACTCAACTCAAGAAGAAAATCAGTGCTTTGAAATGCTGTGCAAGCCTCCGCGCATGACTTCGTCACGCAACTACCGGCGTCCTAGAATCAGAAATCGAAGAAAGTGGAAAACAACATCCCGCAAGGCGCGACAAAAACCGCTGCACTTGCACCCCTTTTAAACTGTACTTAGGGCTTTGATGATACCTCTCGCCAATGCTTTGTTGTAGTGTCCTGTTGACGTGTAGTCAGTGTCTGCAAAGCTGGCATGCGCACTGCAACGACATGTGCCAAACAACTCACGCAGCTTTCGACTGAAGACCTCATGCGAGCACGCAAAACACAGCTGCTTTCCAATCGGCAGGCCGGAGTTTGACATCATGCCCGTCGCACACAGATGCACCTGCACGTGAAAAATCAAGCAAGCATCCGTCAACAGTTTCTGTGTTCCATGTCTTTTCCAAAGATCGTTGAAGTACGGCAACTCAAACGATCTACCATCACCAAGCTGAAGATACTTCAAGGCGTACTTGCAAAGAGGCTCCCACGCAAAGTCGGCTTCGGTCTTCGATTCACTGAATCGCTTCAGCGGTGATCCAGGTGCACATGGTGTGGAAGTGTGCACATGAACCCAAAGCCCACTCAGCTTCCACTCACTGACGTACCTAGCAGCTTGCTCAAACACACGAGTCGTTTCCGCATTCGCCGTGATGCCAACATATGGGATCCGAAGCTCACAGCACGCCCTCGACAACTCGGAATCGGCACTACAGCAGACCTCAAGCAAAGCTACAGAACTTCCGGTCTTGTTCTCATGTTGTACATGCAGCTGAGCAAGGGCAAATAAGGCGCTAGCATGTCCGGTCTCGGCAACGAACCCCAAGCGCTCACGATGAAGCACATGCATTCTAGTTGGCAAACACTTCGTCAAAAGATCAGCTGGATTGACAGTACCCCGCAGCCACCTGAGCTGGATGCGGCCAGACCTTAGGTGCTCCCGGAGCCAGGCTATGCGGATCTCAATATGTCGACTCCGCCGAGGCAGATCTTCCCCCTTGAGGAGGTCGACTGCCGACTGTGAGTCTGTCAAGATCTCAGCTACAGACTCCTGATCAGGATCATGGGAGTCCTCATCCTCCCGAGTGTCCAATTGGACATCATACCGAAGAGATGCCTCGCCAAAACTCGCCAATACCCGATTCACGCTGAACATGAATGCGACACATTCTTGGGCCATGAGTTGCAAGGCGTGCAACTCCGACTCGCAGGACGACAAACAGACTACGCTTTGTGTTTTGGCAACTAATCTCACAGCACTCCCTGCAAAGGTGATTGCTCCTCCAGTGATGCCCCTCCGCTCAAGGAAGCGATATGGAGCATATGAGGCGTCCGCGAATACATGTACCCGCGTCAGCAGCTCATCGCGTGAGCAGTTCAAGAACTCAGGATCCAAGCTCGCCGAAGGAATCTGATGGATTATGTACTCGTCGCCCTTTAGGAACCGAAGGACAGCACGCAAAGCAGACTCAGTGGCTGAAGTAGGCTTGCTCTGTTGTGTGGCAATCAAGGTGAGCATCAACTTAATGTCCTGCCTCGTCTGAGCATACCATAACAGCCGGCCCAATGCTCGCCTAAAGCGCGAATATGCTTCCGGTGTGAGTTCTGGACCGGATTTCTCAAGCAAACTGGCAACATCAGGCACCGCTTGTGAACCCTTCGTGATCCCGTAGGCGCTAAAACATGGTTCTAAGCACTGCTTGTCGATGCTCAACTCAATCACAGAAGAACCTGGCCATCTACGGATGCATCTACCGAGGAAGGTGAGGCTCCCACCTCCGGCGCTCGAGGGAAAGATCCTTCCTGTGATCTTCACATGCAACCGCTTCGAGATGGCACTGAGAATGGCCTGTTCAACAAGCTCATCATCAGTGATGATCAACAAATCATCCACATAGGCAATCACGATGGCTCGCCCACCATGTGCGGTCTCACGCACCTTTGTGCTCACCCATCCAGTGAATAGGCACGGCTCGCGTTCACAGCTGTTAAGTCCAAGTGGCCGTATAAGGCCAGTCAGAAGCCGTAACCATGCCAACGAAGCTTCCCTAAGACCATTCAAAGCGCAATACAAGAAGAAAAACGCAGGAAGTCCATTAGACAATGACACAGACAATGGCAACTTCAGAATGACAGGAGTCTTAGCTTCTAACGGACTGTTCATGAACGCATGGCCAATGTCCGCACCGCATCCTCGCATATCACGCGTGGCAAGCATGATCAGTGCTAGCATAAGCGAGTCAAGACTCGGAGTGGGACTACTGAAACCCTGTTTGCGTGCAGACCCATTGGCTATGTCCTTTGCAACGATCCTGCTGCGAACTCGCTGAGCATTCTTACGAGCGCAGACCCACCTGGATTGGATCACACACATTCCCGGATGTTTCCGCTTCAGCGCATCAACTTCCTCAGAACCGATAATGCGGCCTGTGCGGCAATTCTCCAAATTGCAGATTTCCTCCTTCATGCCAGCAAACACCAAATCTCCCGGAAGCTCTTCAAGCGTGCTATCATCAATGCCGCCGTCAGGGCACCACAAGTGCACCCGTGTCCCCCCAAGTGGAACACTCTCAAACTTCGGCTTAGCGGCATTACCAGAAGATGACTCATACCTGATGCTGTTGATCCCTTCATCGAATACCTCAGGACGAGTTACAACTTCATTCAAGACAACAGGCTCATGAGCGTCAGACGCCCACATAATTCCCTCGATCATCCGCGGAACGCTGGGGCCTGAATCACGAATCTCGTTCTCAAGATCAACAACCTCAACATCAGACATGCGCTTCACTCCTCGTGACTCGGAGCCACCACCAAAGCTGGCATGCCCAGCTGAAGATCCCAACTGAAGCCCTGTGGAGCCTTCGCTCCTGTCGCTCTCAACCGGCTTGGGTCTCTTGAGTAGCGAAGGTCGCGACGGTTCACTAGCACGCAACCTCTTTGCCTCAGGCTCCAGGCCTCCAGAATCAGACGATGTCCGATGCGACCCTGCATGCTGGGCATCACTACGGACGCCATCGGCATCAGGACCTTCTGTATCAACAGGCACATTACCAACGCTCACACGGGCACTTGAGGGCAGAACCGGCTGAGACCTCTGAGGCACAACCTGCGGCTCCATTGAACGGTCAAGGCCTGATGCACTGGAACGCTCGGGTCACCAACATCTACGGCCATCTCCTGACCAGATTGGTCGGGTGCCGCAATCGGATCCGCGGACACAACTCGAGCTCTATCCTCAGCAACGGCCGCACCGTCACCAGCGACTGACTCCCGAAGCCAGTGAGCGTACCTCTGCTGGCAAGTCCGACCGTGCTTCTGACCTGCCCGTCGGCCAGCTTGAAGATTAGAGCACGCTGGGCATCGAGCCGTGTACCCATGACGCCGCAGCCACTCAACAGGTGGCCCCGATGCAGGCCCACGGACTGACACAGGAGGATCAAGCACTTCACGATGCTCAAGAACAGGAGGGACTCTGGGTCCGCCACCAATGGGAGCAATCACTCCTTCCACGAGCTCAAGCCGCCAAGTTAGTGGAACCGTCACCTTCACAGATTTTGCGTTAAAGACCTTTAGTTCCAACCTGCCCTCAAGTCGAATCAGCGCAGCAACACGAATGGCCTGGGACCCTAGCACCGGGTAGAGGAAGGCAGCCTCCGTGAACCGGGGTAGGTTCGGTCCCAGATCTTTTATCGACTGCGGCAGCTCGGCTAAGACCGTAGCGCTAAACAGAGTGAAGGCGCCCTTGGGGGTAGGTCTCTGCAAAGGCATGTCACATGGTGCAAGTTCCGACCCATGAGCCTTCGAGAACCTGTTCAAGCTACCGCAAAGATACGTAAGAGCAGCACTGAAACCGACGTGATTGAAGCAGATGTCCAAGCCTTCATGATTCAAGTCACTACGCAATGTTTGCAATGACTCTTTAATCTTCCTTACTCCGCGCTCGGCCACACCAATCGACTCGTGACACTGAGGACCTGCTTTCCTGACCTGAAACACAAACTCATCGGAGGCGCCGGCCACCAAGTCCGACACGGCTTCTTCTGCGTCTGTCAACATAAGGATTGAACATGTGCCCGACTCAAGCCCAAACTCACGAAGCCACCTCACAATGTCGGTCCTGCTAGCAACTAGGTTGTCAGACGTGACGATGGCTCCTATCATGGACGACATCCGTTCCACCATCACAAGCACACGCAAGTTGTCCGATCTGACCTCTCGTCTCTCCTCGCCAGTACTCGAGAGAAAGAAGAAATCAGCAACTACCTCAGTTTCAAGACGACCATCCCTACGACGCCTATGCTGAAAAACCGTTCTAGACACCTGGCAGTGCTTGCACCCAGGGTGATATGGAGTATGACCTTGTAACCGGTGCAGGGCCAACTCCGCTTCACTCGAACGGGTAAGTGGAGACACAGGCACAAGTGGGACCTGAGGCGTCAATGGCGCCAAACACAGCTCGCCCTCAGGCGACTCCGGATGCACCACGGGTCTCAAACGCACCCAGGGCACATTACAGAAAAGCACGATCTCCTTAGCACACGCGCCTGAAGCAGACGCAAGGTGGATGCCCTCCCTCGATTGAGAAAAGGTCCAACCACGGTGACACAGCATGGTCGTGGAAATGATGTTGTGATTTGTGTCGCCAATCCAAACATTCATGCTTGCTTCACGCCAATCACTGGTACCATCAGGCAACTCAAGAAAAATCTCAACTCGTATGGTTCTCTCAGCAAGCATCTTCACCGGACTACCGTTGGCCGCTGAGAATCCCTGCTGCACTCGCGAGCTCCTGAGCTCACCAACATCTATCCCAAACCACGCAGCAGCACTCTCACTCAACACAGAAACTCCAGCCCCGCTGTCAAGCAACCACCACTCGCAGTCCTGTGGGTCCTCTAGGATCTCATTTACAAGCAACGGCGCAAAGATCACAGCACTCAACTGTAGGTTTTCAACTGGCTTGCTCTCCTTCGAAGTCTCAGCGACCGCGCTACCCCAGGCCTCGTGACCTGCACTGCTATCCCACTGATCCCAGCCTTCATGCCAGGAGTCGTCGGCCCAAGTCGCGTCGTCAAGACCTCCCTCATTGCTTTCCTTGGACTCCTCAACCAGTTCATACATCTTCCCTTTCTTACCTTTAGATCCTTTCGGCTTACCTTTAGCCTTCCCTTTGTCCTTTCCTTTGTCCTTTCCTTTGTCCTTTCCTTTTCCTTTCACAAGTTTTCCTTTCTCCTTTCCTTTTCCTGCCTTTCTTTTACCTTTAGGATGGCCTCTAGGACAATTGTGGCTCACATGCCCATACTCGTCACAGGCAAAACACTTGACCTTACTCAAATCCGTCGTGCAAGAGCTAGTCTTATGCTTTCTACCACACCTATCACAGCGTTCCTCATTCACAGCGGCGATGCTCCACGAGCCATCCCACTGATACCAATCATCACCGTTGTCATACCAAGCTTTGTCATACTGATCATCACCATCACTCTTGGTCAAATCAAAAAGCTCACTCACATGCTTTGTCCAAAGTTCAAATCCAAAAACAATCGCTGTTGCTGTTCGTACTTTAAAGCAGAAAGACGTGCGGTCTGATAGGTATCTGCAGCTGAGTGATGCAACACATGCTTCTTCGCTTCTTCAGGCAGACTACGCAAAGGAATCACTAACATGTCTCCGTCACCAATGCTCAAGCCTTGCCTGTCCAGATGCGATGGCAGTGTTCCTAAAGGCTTCGAAAAACGTGCTCCTTCAATGTCAAGCTTCCGGATCACATCTCCTACAACCGTCGCTGCACTCATTTCACTGCTCTTCATCGAGAAGATGCGTCCCAACAGCTCAAATCTCATGGACAGCGCTTCTGCCCTTGATCTCAAAGAAAACTGTTGACCAAGCTGACGCAGCAACTCAAAATCACATGAGGTGTTTCCTAGAAATCTCACGGGATCGGCGACAGAGTTATCAAGCGGCAACCCTTCACCAAACGCTTGTATCATGAGCATTGCGCGCGCGTGCCCCGCAAAAGCAGTTCTCAAGATCCCGAACAGCCTCACTGATCTCACCTTCTGGTCTTCAGACAACGTCTGCTGCCAAATGACTTCAGGCCACTTAACAGCACAAGAGATCTCTTCAGTAAACGTCATGCTGGCCAATGCTGCCCACGACTGAAGGGCAACAATGTAGTCGGAAAACCCAGCAATCTCCACTTCTCTAGACGTCCACTTTTCAACACCGGCACTTGGTGGTTGACCTAGCCACTTGTCCGCTCTAGAGAAGGCGTCTCGACTCTCAAAGCTCTGCTGGTTCATTTGTGGCAACTGGTAAGCCTGACAAGGCAACACCCCTGTAGGCGCTCCTGGAGCAAACTGACCCTGACGAGCATCAGGATGTACCGGCCTTTCACCAAACCGATCTGGAACACCCCTAGCTTGATACATCAGCTGTTCGTTCAGCACCGTCTGTGCTGCCTGTGCCTGCTGAGGCGACATACGCGAGATAAGCACTTGCATCTCTCTCAAGAGATCACTTTGAACGGCACCCTGCTGCGGAACACTTCCAACAACTTGAGCACTGCACGCGTTGCAAGGGACTGGGTTAACAACTGCTGGAGCAGGCTGTGGTGGCACTGGCACGTGATTTCTAAACGACTCTCCAAGACTCGAGATATCACTTCCTGTGCCCTGTCCGACCACACCTGACGCTTGTCTCTGCACTCCAACTGGCAAAGGCTGCTGAGGTCTCGCTTGCTGTTGCTGTCTAAGCTGCTGCTGTTGCAGAAAAGCACTCCACGGATCCACCTCCTCCCCTCCCTTACCTGCTCCCTTCAGACCTTGCTCCAGTCTGTCCGGCGAGCCAGGATAGCTCTGCATAACTTCGCGTCACACAAGCTAGTTCTTAGGGCTAAGGCAGAGGAGCGTCGGCTCCGCTACCATGTAGAAACTTACAAACACTAGCACAGCTCACACAGCCTGCACAGCACTTTCGCACTCACAGCAAGAGAAGTGTCTCGGTCGTGACTTGTCTGAGCTACTGCACTCTACTTTGCTGCTTCACAGCTCTCCGTACTTGAGCTCTGCATTCCTCATGCAGAAAACACGCGGTCGGCAGCTTCAAACTGGAGTGATATGCTTGCATATCACGCTCTCCTCGCTGACAAAACTCTTCAAGGCTAAAAACTCACGTCGTGGCAAAAACATGCTCATGTCTTCACATGCACCACAACTGCACATTGGTTGGAGAAAATAAAACCTCGTTCCAAAGCTCATGCCCTCATGCACTGCAAAAGCTGGTTCCATGCTGTCATACCGCAGGTAGTGTTACGTACTTTCACAGAACTAGGATTTCCGCCACAGCGCGGCGTGTTGAGTAGGCTTCACTCTGCGGGGCAACCCCACATTCCCACAGAAACTCCCCCGAAAAGTCCCCTAACTACTAATTCTCAACCTCCACGTGGGCGCGCGGGGGGAATAGGTTATAGGAGATAACTTGCATTTCGGCCCCAGTTTTGGCGAAACATCGATTAACACCCGTAGGGCGGCAAATCTGGCTAAGGCAGGCTCAAGATAGGCTTAAGATACATGCCAAGATGCTCCCAAACAAAGCATGGTCCAAGCTGGAGGCTGCAACCCTTTTGACCCTCAACCGCTGCACCGTACTTGTGTCGATTCTGGAAGTTATAAGGGAGGGTCAAAGGCCGAGGGTATCATTACACTCTTAAGGAATCTTCTTAAAGAGAAGTGGGGATTACGGGATTATTATCTACCGTAACGTAAGTTGTACATCAGCCTTCGAACTTGGACCCCCTCCCTTATAGACATTCCACAGGGAACTGGTCACAAAAAGCACAGAAAACGGCACTGTCGCGGACGCATCGCTTAGCGACGCCGCGATCGGGCCTTGGGTGCTGTGGCGGTCTTGGCCTTAGCTTTAGCTTTGGCTTTTGCCTTTACTTTTGCCTTCGCCTTTGCCTTCGCCGCCAACGTAAACGGAGTCGTCGTGACCACCGCGGGGTCGTCTTTTGCAACCGCTTCATCGTTGTCGATGTCGTCGTCCTCGAGTGCCTCACATTGTTTTGATCCAAGCCCGGAAAACCTTGAAGTTCACTATACAAAGCATTATTAATCACAAACGATACACGACCCTCAAAAAGTTGCTACTTTAGGGGCTTTTGGGCTTGGCGTTCGGCGATATAATTTCCAAGGAGTGCGCTATAACAACATGACTTCCCAAACCCTTCAACTAGGACATTGCGATCAAGTCTCCGCGCGTTTCGGTGGCTCCTCGTGGTCTCAACTCAAGCTCCGCACATCAAAACTCATTTATTCAACGGTTGAACGATTGTGTGTGAATTCGCGAAGCACCGAAACGTAGAAGTTCAATCATGTCCTCGGAGAGGCGGGGCTTGGCCGGAGCTCTCGATTCGATCCGCTTGTCATCTGGATCTGTACTGTCACCCTCATCCTCAGCCCAGAAATCGAACCCACGAGTGCAGTGGTATGCCGGTGCCGTCTGGCATCAGCTGCATCTTTCAATCTGTACTGAGCCGAATGCATCGCTGGAAGCGGTGGGCTCAAGCCCAGGGTCAGGGCCCTCAGCCTCAACACAAGGCTGACGAGCTTGGACTTGCAAAGAGCATTCGGCTATGTAGGCCCACTGCAGCAGCAGGACTCGCAAGCCCCTTCGCGTCTGGAAACTCGACCCATGCAGGAACTGGAACATCCTGACACCGCTCCAGGGAGGCGTTGCAAACTGGCACAACAAAAACTATGACACTGGTCCTTGGTCGCCTCTTCCACTGCCGCCGTGCCAGGATTGATGGCTCTCGCAATCTGGCTGGCCTGCGAACGACAGTATGTGCGATAATCTGTGGATAGGGAAAGACAGGCGCAACCAAACTTCACACAAAATCAGGTCCTTATCCAGGTCAACTGGCGTGCCAGGATTGATGCCTCCATCAATCTCGGGGGCCTGTGAACGTCAATATGTGCTTGCAGCGATGATAACCCCAAGAGGAAAGACTGGCACAACCAACTATACACACAAAATCAAGTCCTTGTCACCAGGATTGCTGGACCCAGGCAGGGCCTGGGCATGGGGCGGCATCATCAGCATCATTATCATCGGAGTCCTCATCACTACTACAACAGACAATGCGTCGCTCATCTACAGGTATCTACAGATCATCCGCACACGTCGCAATACTGGTCATGCTCCCTGTGTATCGTCGTCAGCACTGGGATCATCCTCATATCTGGCAAAATACCAGGAAGCGGCTTGTAGCTTGTGTTGCAGACCAACGGCATCTAAAACGTCTGACACAATTCCACATGATCTGCTAAGCCTCAGGCATTACCAGGCTGCTCCTGCCCTTCCACGCCTTCCATCCTCTGCGTCTCAGCAGCCTCAAGCATGGAATCGGCAGCATGCCCCAGATGTCTGTGGCGAGCGCATGAGCACCGAAACTGTCGCAATCTGCTGAGATACGGCCACGGTGTCTTCATCGTTGCCACCATTCCTGAGACCATTCCCATTGCGCTCCGACGCCGATGCGTCCTGCCAATCTGTTAGGTCCTTTAGCTCAAACGATCGAGCTTAAGAGCGATATGAGTTGCTGGCGGAGTGGGTGCGTGGGGCACTCCAAAACAAAAAAACCTTTTCTTCCGGGGAGACCCAGCATCATGAGTACAATCATGAGCATCAGTTGGGGTGTTGGTGTTGGTGGTGGTTGTTGTTTGTACCGCAGTTAGGAGAGATCCGAACGTTGCGACAGGAACTAGGTCAGCGAGTGTTCGCCGGATGCATGGTGCATCACGCTGCTGTTGAGCGTACCAAGACTCCGCGCTGTCACGAGTGACAGCGCACATAACTATAAAGGACCAATGCGCACAACGCGAGGCTATTCCCCGCATCGACCGTGTCTACGACACAGGTGTGCTCAGCTTTGCCCGTGATGGCCATGTTCCGTCAGCGAGTGCTCCGTCATCAGCGCAGGCAGTCGAAAACCAAGGTTCAGGAGCCGTTTCCTTGAATCAGTCGAAAGTCTCTGTAATGAGCGCACGGTATAGCCGATGAGGATCAGTCTGTCCCCGCATGACCACGGCGTGGTAGCATGCTTCAGGAGCGGACTAAACGTACAGTGCGGCCATCCGATTCTGTGCATCGTACCAGGACCTGAGGTCTGATCAAGGACGTGGGCTCCGGCAGCGTTCTGAACCCATAAGCTCCCTCCTTTCCAGCGAGAACAAGGAATCACTGCGTTGAGTGAGCATGGATCGTTATGGGCATCACTGTGAAGCTGCATCAAGGTGTTCCTTTGAAGCGTGACGGATGAGAATGTAAATTCAGGCCCGCAGGCTTCGCGGATGATTGCCGTGAGCGCCCGTGTGACTTGCGGGTACAGCCCCGTGCTCGTCAGGATACCTGTGTCGTGCGCAAAGGTGTATGCACCTGACGAGAAGCTGCATTGACGAGGCACATTTGCACTGAGCTGCTTTCGCCGTTTCGCCGTGGCCCGGTCCGGTAAAGCATCCATAATCGCTGAGAGATTCTCGAAGGTGGCAACGCCTGCGTCCAGGATACCATTAGCCATGTTCTCCACCGTGCACCGTCTCTTCGTCATCATGGTGGCCTCGCCTGGAAAAGTGAGTGCCAGTTGGTGTGGTGGGTGGTTGCGAACCGACTGATGGCACATATCCAGAACGTGTTGCTGCTGGCTCTCCATAACATTCCACTCCTCAGTAACAGAAACCGCTGAAGTGAGGGGCTCGAAGCGTGGAGGACATACCAGTTCCAAATCCATATCCTCAGCGATTAGGGGAGGAGATTTAGGGCTCTCGGGGTCAAGGTCGGTGGAGGCGGCAGGCTCAGATGCCGAGCTGTGCAGCGAGCTGGGTGAGTCCACCTGATTGGCGAAGCGTGGGTGCGCTGGTCCCAAAATGGAGGGGAGCTCAAGTTCCCATACTTCTGCAGGCACGTTATCGGGCTTGCTGGGCCACGACTGATGTGACGTGCTGTCGGCTGACATGGCATGCATGGACAATGTGGGCTTGAGCGGTGAGGCGCAAGAGGAAACAAAGAGTGGGGCGGCCCAGCACTGGGGAGGACCCATGAATGCAGAAAGGTATGCGATGCAGCGGCAGCAAGGGAGACGTTTTTGAAGCCCACTGAATTTGCAGTGCGGCAAGTCCCGCGGCGAGCCCCCGGCCCGCGGCCTCTTCCCCTTGCCTCGCCGACAAGACGGGGCAAGAAGAAATCGTGGTGCATGTGTGCTGGGCCTCTTGAAGGCCAGCTAATCCCCGCGCCTGCAAAGCAACATGTAAACCTCCCTGGATGCGAAAGCGTCCCCTCGTCTGAGTCCCGATGTGTCGCTCAAGGCTGTAGGCTCGAGGCCGTCATCACAGAAGTAATCAACACCTGAGGCATGGTCATGTATGATTGTGGTGTAATGACCTGTCTGGATGTCTGGACCACGGTGCAAGACAGCGGCTGCTACAGTGTATGTGACATTACAAGATTCCATACCCTCCCCCGTGAAGCATGACATGTTGATGGTACGGGGCCATGTAATAAGAGCATGGTGCTTGCATGCTCCCTCGGGTCCGTGCGTGTAACGAGCAAATCTGAGCGCCAGGAGCTCAGGCGGCACCCTAAGGGCATGTACAGAAGCCTGATGGTGCCACGCATGTAAGAGACTTTGAGTCCCTAGCTCATCCCCGTTTGGGAGGTCCAGAGTGACTGCCTGGTGGCACTCTCCGGACTCTGTAATGCGAATCCCGAGTTCCGTGTCACGGCGCGCCTCCCATTCCCCCGAAGTGGCCTGGGGGCAGAGTTTGCGGATCAGATGTGCGAGGAATTCGGCGCTATCATGCTG